TTGGATTTCGGCATGGGGCATTTTCAGCCAGCTCCCATGGACGTTTCTGGGGGCAGGCTGAAAAAGCTCCAGGCCAAATCCTGGAGCTCTTTCAGCCAGCCTCCAGAGACGAGAGGGGGACTTGAGAGGGGGACTTGACTTTCTGGGGAAGCCAGCAGGGAAGATTGCAAATGGTGATCACATGATCACGGGGCACTGAAAAAGCTCTGTGCTGAAATCCAAGCAGGATTTTAGCATGGAGATTTTTCAGCCAACCCCTCATCTCTGGGGACTGGCTGAAAAAGCTCAGCGCCAAAATCCTGCTTGGATTTCGGCACGGAGCTTTTTCAGTCAGCCCCCAGAGGTGAGAGGGAGGCAGGCAGCAGCAGTTTGCGACCTTCCCTGCCAGCTTTCCCATTGACTTTCTGTGGAAGCCAGCTGGGAAGATTGCAAATGGCAATCACATGATCACGGGGCGCTTGGCAACCGATCGTAAGTGCAAACCGATTGCCAAGGGCCCAGTTCGCGATCATGTGACTGCTGGGGTGCTGCATTGGCTGTGACTTTGTGCATGGGTCATAAGTCCCTTTGTTCAGCACCGTCATAAATTCGAACAGTCGCTGAACAAATGGTCATTAAGCAAGGACTACCTGTAGTTTATTCCACCTAGGAGGTCTATCTAAATTGTTTGGACATTCTTGCTTCCCAATATGAAGAGTAGTATGTTGAAATCCTACTTTGCAGAGTACAGTTAAAACAAGCTTCCTTTCTTAAGGAAAAAAAAAGTTTAAGTTTCTGATTCCATTAAATAAAGAAAAAAGACAATGCCTGCATATAAAAATTATGTGCAATATCTTAAGCTTTTTATTGATTTAGTTTTGATCCACTTTTAAAAGGACACGTGTGAAGTGATGTCCAACTCAGTTTCAGAATGACTTATGTAACTTGTAAATCTTTTCTGTGACCCTTAGTGATCTTTTGCTGGCAAACTTCCAAACTGTATTTATCAGTCACTCTCAGTGTGGTAGGCTTTCCCAGGAACTGAGAACTGAACTGATAGCTAGTGCCAGATAAATTGTGTCCAAATTGCAAGTATTGAAGCAAGTGTTCTCCAGGCACAGGGCCAGAGGTAATAAGTTCCCAAATGAAAGGACAACTTGTTCTTTTGTAATAGTCTGAATATTGTACTCTTGTTAAAAGAAAGATGCCTTTCATTATCCTGCCATGTCATACTCCTTGCTCTTCTAGTTCTGGGCTTCCATGTCAGCCTTTTCTTCACAATTAGCATGCTCCTTGTTTTCTTAAAACACAGCCTGGCCATCTACTGCTGTGTTTGCCAACCATTTTCTGCTGGCCATCAACTGTGTCGACAAAAAGGGTGTTCTGAGCTTGTGTCCAGCTTTCAGAGCTAAGGACTGCAAAGGGAAAAAATCTCCCACATGAGGAAGTAAAGGTCTGAGACATTCCTTTCTCCAGCATTCCCACCTCCTTTCTCAAACTCTCAGCTTCAGCTATAGAAAGGCAATGAATGACACCCAGATCTTTCTCCTAGAAGACCTTGGCTTGCTCTCTGATTGTATGAAGTTCTGAAGAGCCCTCCATCCTTCTCCTTCATTTTTATATTTGACTTTCTACTTTGCCCCTCTTCTCTATTGTGAGGAGGAATATACTCATCAAGCCAAGGGAACTGTTTCAGGCTACCAGAGCAGGAGTGCTCATTCACCTTTTGCAGATGAAAAAATAATTACTCACCACACATATAGTACAACTGCTGTTTTCCTATGACATGTCTTTCTGCTCTCTGTCTTATTCCACCTCTCAAAAAGCATTAGGATCTTGCGTCAATGCTTGGAGGCTTCAGCAGAATAGAGACCCCTGTGAGCTTCCACATTCAGTTAAACCTCTGTTGTCTTCCCCTTTAGCTCCAGAAGTACTAGGCCCAGAGAAATATGACAAATCCTGTGATATGTGGTCCCTTGGTGTCATCATGTATATTTTGTAAGTAAACTGGCTTGCTTTACTCTGCTGTTTAGCACAGTTAATTGCTTTGAATTTTCTGCTCTATATGTTCTTGATTTCATTGAACCCATAAATAGGTCCTTCAATATATTAGCTTCCTTTAGTCAGTTATACAATTCAAGATTATTATCAGTAAGCACTAAAGAAGATGTACAGAATATGCTTGTAAGCTCAGCTTATTTGCAGGGTCAGACAGCAGGCTGTCAAAATGGAAATATTGATAGAACCTAATGGGAAGATTGCATGTCCTAATATTGTTGCTTATATTTTCATTCTAGAAAACAATGATTCATGGGACTTGGGTACAAGGATATCAGCAATGTGTGCAAGCTCCATTCAAAAGCTGTTCTTGACATTTGAATCTCTAAGCAGTTTTGTACCGTCATGGTTGGGTTTTTTGCTAGCCACCAAGACAGCATATGGGCTAAAGAGCAAATATGAAAAGTGCTAAAATAGATAGATAGGCAGACAGACAGACAGACAGACAACAACAAATACAACCTTCCTTTCCAGTTTCAAATAAGGGGAAGTGGAGGTAGAGTTTATTATTTTTACTCTGGGCTGTAAAGGTTTTCTAAGTATCTTGGCAACCAAAGGCCAACATAAGCCTCAGCCTTCTCTGTCAGCTCTGTAGAGGAATATTGGGTCTTGTCATTTGAGTGCTGGACTGCCAGTACTACTGTATAAAAAAATTAATTCACTTTTGAAGCTGAAGAGAAGGGCAGGAATTATCTCCCAGTTGTGTCAGGTTTCTACAGCTCAGAGCAACGATGAGGATAATCCATACTTTCTTCTCAAGAGCAAGAAATGTAGCTGGAGCAAAGAGCAGTTGATTGCCCCTGAATTCTGAGAAACAGGTCAAAAACAAAAAAAGAGATAGTGTCCTGGTACCTGCTACTTTTGGTATGTTTTTTGAGAGGAGCCAATACTTATGGACCCCTGACTCTCAGCCAAGGACTGTGATAAAATTCAGCCCCATAATTCATTAGAATATAAGGGTTTATTTAGAAAGTGAAAATACTTGCTAAATCAAGTTGTTTCAAATGCTGTCATACAAATTACTGCTTTATTGTGCCAAATACCTGAATAAATAATACTTGAATTTCCTTCATAATCACAAATCTGGGGGAAATGCTATGAGGTCTCAAGAACATTTAAATATTTTTTCTAACCATTCCGCCCCCCCCCCCCTTTCGGAGTGAACACAGGGCCTTATCTTTCAATAACCTAAGATAACCAATCCAGAGAGGGTATCCTTTTTTGGCCATGTAAATTTTCCAGAATTCTGTTTTTATATATTATCCAAACAAAGGGAAAGGGCCATTATAACAGATAAGCATTCCTGTGAATACTCAATAAAATATTATAATGGCAAGAGATCACTGCTGTCTGCAGCCTACCATAGTAAACATCTGCCATTACTGTCACTTTCTCAGTGAATTAGGCTTCTTCTAACAGCCAATCCACAGTTCGGTTAACAGTTGAGAGTCCAATCTCAGAAAGGAGGTAGCTGCAAAACACTGTTGGATGAGCTGCTGGGAACATGATAGTGCTGATGAAGAGAGTGCCTGTGGGAATTTATTCTTGAATTTAATCTTCCCAAGCACAGTCTTTATCAGGGTTACTAAGTTAAGGGGAGAGATGCGATTAAAGCCTTTTTCTGCTCCTCTGGTGATCCTGATTAACACTGCTGCCTCCCTCCCCCTAAGTTTAATCTTGAGGTCATGAGGGATAGGACACTTTACTCTTTTCTTTCATGTGAACTCAGCAGGAATATATGACCTCTATCATCAAATACTCTATGAGGCCTTCAGAATGAAGGAGCACAGTGCACCCTCATTGTTCTCCATTCATCTCTATCACTCAAGCCCCAAGTGACCCATCAGCTTTCTTGGAAGGAATGACGTAACCATAGTAATTCACACTCTGGTAATCTCACAGTTAGAGGTTATGTGTGGCTGCCCTTGAAGGTGACTGGTGCAAAATATTTTCTCTCTCCATTTTGTGTAGACTGTGTGGCTACCCCCCTTTCTATTCCAATCATGGTCTGGCCATTTCTCCAGGGATGAAGAAAAGGATCAGGATGGGTCAATATGAATTTCCAAACCCAGAATGGTCTGAAGTATCAGAAGAAGGTAAATGTAATTGTGAACTGCAGCTATTGTTCTGGTTTGAAAAACAAACAAACATGAATGAGACTAATGAGTTTCAAACCTATACTTTGAATATGATCCCAGCATGAATGAGAAAAGGAATAAAGAAACTTAAGGAGAAACTGTGTAGAAGTTTTTTATGTTTGAAAATTTAAAGGTATTCCATGACCTGGCCCAGACCCAAGAGAACTTTTTTGTGAGTTTTGTGTTAATTCATATACCCTATTCTTAAATGAAGAGGAGATGTTGGTGGATTTCTCTTCAAGTGCTACATTGAAACAACTGGAGAAGGAATCATTACTAGAAGAATTTTGAATGAAAGTTCATAGGGAGTATGAGTTTTTAAGAAAGCAGGCATTAAAGTTCCTACTACCTTTGCTTCATGTACCTGTGATTTTCAGCACTTACTACAACCAAGACAATATACCAAAACAGACTGAATGTGTTTTCAAGACTTTCTATAACAAACTTCACTTCAGATTTTGATAAAATACTGTATTTACGGTGCTGTCATCCTCAGATAGTTAGACCAGCCTGAGACCAGTGGAAGATGAAGAACTGCGCATATGCTTCAGGTTGCAGTGCTATATCTCTTGGGTCGAAGGAGAAAATTGTGTCCTCTTAAAATCATCACCGTCATCACGTGTATGAGAGAGCATAATGCACATTGTATTGATAATGTTTCTGGTGTTTTCTTCCTTCAGTCAAACAGTTGATTCGAAATTTGCTGAAAACAGATCCTACCCAGCGGATGACTATAACAGAGTTCATGAATCATCCATGGATCATGGTAAGAGCTCTGTTGTTGTTTATTAAAAGTAGATACTAGCTGCCTAAGCTAGGAACATCTGAGAGTAGATTAATTTTCTATTTGTTTTCCCTCCATAGCAATCAATGCAAGTGCCGCAGACACCTCTGCATACTAGTAGAGTTTTGAAAGAAGAGAAGGACCTTTGGGAGGATGTCAAGGTAAGTTCCTACATTCTGTATGTCATATATACGGTAAGGATAAAGAGTATGCATAGACAAAATACAAAGTGAAGGATACCCCATTTCCATCTTTCAGTCTTAGACTAGAAGAATTTAAATCTGCTAAAAGATTGATCAGAGAGATCTTTCCCCAACATGGCACTCCTGAAAGAGGATTTCAGGAGTTGTAATCCAGACTCATCTGGGGGCACTGGGTTGAGTCCGCAGTAGACTCACACTTTTATAAATGTTTGGTACCAGCTATTATTGGGAGTAAAATATAAGGGATGGCTGGTCACCAAAAGCCCCAGATTTTAACCTCTGTCTTGCTATACAGTTAGTATACAGTTAATGGGGAAAGCAGGAAAAAGCTATTTGGGCTGCAGAGGAACATGGAACAGAGGTCAAAAGTATTATAAAAAGCCAACATTGAAAATAATTGGAAGTTTGCACATGAAACCTCAAAAGGTAGAGTGGGATCTCTAGAGGGGTGAAGTGCTCCTTATCATCTATGCATGCAGATTTATTTTTATGAGACCTCCAGCATCTTCTCTAAATTTGCTGAGGCTTCATTCCAGAGCTCTCTGTTGCTAATCTGCTACAACTCTGTTTCCTCTTTACTCCCAATTTAGGAGGAGATGACAAGTGCCTTGGCCACTATGAGGGTGGATTATGAACAGATTAAAATAAAGAAAATTGAAGACTCCTCTAACCCATTGCTCATGAAGAGGCGGAAGAAAGCAAATCCTTCTGAACCTGCAGTGCTCCCTCACTGAGAATTCAGTAGAGCCAGGCCTGATGGTTGTGAAAGCAATAACAATATCTATATATTTTTAAAACAAATTGGAAACAAGACTGTCCTATCAAACACATGGAATTCAGCTCTTTATATCAGACTAGTTATTTGTTCTAGCTGCCCTTCATGTTTCTGACCTTTCTAGGATGAGGCAGGAAACAGCTGCTGTACAATACATCCTTTTATTATTTTAATTTTTTTTTTCTTATGGTCCAGTAGGAAAAAGATTCTGATAATTGGATTTTTATTGGTAAAATCTCCCTTGGTATTCCCCTGCCCCCCAGAAACACTGAAATTCCTGTGATTACCTTTTAAGGGTTAATAATAATAATATATATATATATATCTATATTTTTAAAATTACTGTAGAGTTGAAAATCCCAACAGAGTCCTGTGCAAGGTATCATGCTGTTTGTTTTGTTTTGTTTTTTGTTTTGTTTTGTTTTGTTTTGTTTAGAGATAAAGGCTTTTGGTTTGTTTCAAAAGAGATTCTGGGCTATTGAAGAAATGCCATCTGAAACAAAGGCATTGTGATTTTTTATTTTCATTTAACACCAAGAACTGTTTTGTTGTTTTTGCACCTTGGAAAGACCTCAGTTTGTAATCTTAAAAGTTATTGATCAAATGTCCCAAGTATAAGATATCATCTTAAACTGGAAGCCTTCTCTCTTTCTCTCACTCACTGGTATGCACAGGATTATTTCCCCTTTGCTTGTGATTTAGTAGATCATATATAATGCTGTAGTAGGATGTTTAGTATAAGGAGGAAGGTCCCCACTTTTTGTAGTTTAACTTGAATTTCTGAGGGATAATGGTGGGATCCATGATACACTCAGAAGTCAGTTATGATCTCAGGGTATTTAGGTGGTATGACAGAAAGAAGGTGTTTGCTGGTTGACTGAAAACTGATCTCTTTCATTAGCTGATCCTGGAGCAGTATACCAAAATATGTCCTGTTGCCCAGTTTCCACCATCATCTCATTCAGTGTTAAACTGAATCCAGTTTAAAAGATCTCATGCTGTTGCATCTTGTAGCTGCTCATAGTGGTCCTTTTTTCTTTAAAAAAAAAAAAAATTACCAGGAACCCACAACTCTTTAGGCTTACTGCTTAAATTTGAGATACGCATCCCATGGAAGTGTAGCTTCAAATTCATGTAGGGGGGAGCCTGCCCCTGCCATAACGATGTAAAAAATAAAAGTGTGAGGAGAAATACCATAAAAATTAGCTTTTTGTTGGATGAATACCTTAGCTTTTGTAGGTAGTAGTTGACCACATGGCACAAATATGTGATGATGATGTGAGTTCTGCTTAGAAAGCCAAAGATCCACAATTTTATTTTGAAGAAGATGGGGTGGATCTACATGGTTTGCAGACTTCAGCTGGGATTATCTTTTTGTCTTGGGCACATTTGTTTAAAATTGAGAGTTCTTCTGATTCTTGCTCTGTCTCATGGAGGGAAAAACTTTGTATACAAGTTGCCTCATTTTCCTGATGGTCAATTTTTCTGGTTTTCTCAGTATATCCTACCATGAATGGATATCTTTTGCCCTGTTTGTTTTATTGGTATTTTAATTTAAACATAAACACACACACACAAACACAGAGACATTTGCTTTCCTTTCCATTTGAAAAGAAAACTTTAGTTTTTAGTGACATTTTAGAAACTGTAAGGAATTTAATTTGTAAAAAAACGTTCAATTTGTTTTGGTGTCTTATTGCTAACAAGAGGATTTGGTCTGCTTTCCTGCTTTCCCTCATTTTGGATTAAAGACACCTAATACATCAGTGTTTGCTTTTGTGTTTATATGTGTTACTGCCATGGATACCATGCTGGCTGGACAATTTCTGCTATGAAAATTACATGTCCCCTGAGAAGATTTATTGTTATCAACATTTGGGCATGCTTTTGCACAGGTAAAAGTTTCCAGCACAGCTCCTGTAATTGTAGCTCTGGCATGCCTGTTTAGAAGAAAATCTTGTTGCTTTTTGTGGGTCTCCCTGATAAGAGCCTGAGTCTCATTGTGTAGAATAGCAAAGGATTTCAGTAGCCTGTACTTCAGTAGTCACAGACACATTTTGGGTTTGGCTGTGCAAGAAATAAAAGCCCTCAGTCTGCTGAGGAATACACCGATTTTCAAGGATTTAACCTGCACACATTAAGCTTAAAGCAATGGCTTAATACATCCAATCAGAAGCTTATCTATGGATGAGCAGCATGTCGTTTTCTAAATGTTGCTGAATTACAACTCCCAGCATTCCACAGCACTGGCCATATTGGCTGGAGTTGCTAGAAGCTGCCGTTTTTTAACATTAAACTTTTCCATAACTCTGCCTAGTCTTTCCCTAGTCTTAAGTAGAAATTCAACTCTGTTAAACCTCTGGTTGTGTTACCTTGCAACTTCTATTATCAACAGACATTATGGCTAATGATCACACTGTCTGAACAGCAAGTTACAGTCCAACAAATAGAAGAGGCAGGGAGGGGGAGTTGCTTTAGCTGTAGAAAATCCTGTTCCTAGTTGCCTATCCTTATCATCAGTCTTGATTATCCTAGACCAGTGTTTGTCAACCTTGACAACTTTAAGATGTTGAACTCCAACTCCCAGAATTCTGGGAGTTGAAGTCCACATATCTTAGAGTTGTCAGGGTTGAGGAACACTGTCCTAGACTGTGGTGGAGACTAAGTATTAACATTTGATTGGCATATTCAGCTGGAATCCTAACCACACATCTGTTTTCCTGTGATAACTAGAGTGTTACAAAGTAAATGCAGTTCTCTGTAGGAAGCAGTTTTTCGTTTTGGCTGAATGTATTAACACAAGACTTCCTCTAGACGGAGCCAGTTGTTTAAATTTGGAGTGATCACTGTTATGTATTAGTTTAGAAAAGTGAATGTTGGAGCTTTTCAGATGAGCTTCTTTTAGTTTCTGGATTTTGCTGGGCAGTTTCTGTGTGATATCACACCCAGTATTTTTATTCCCAGTGTTTCTGGCTAATAGAATGTGATTGGGGGGGGGGGGCAGGGTGAGACCACAAACAGAATGGGAAGGTGCCAGACATCTTTCATTTTCACAAATTCCTGTGAGCTGAACCGTTAACATTTGGCTTTGGCAACATTGCTATTTGTATGTGCACAAAATTGTGAACTGTGAAACTGTGAAACTTCAAAACTGTGAAGGTTATTATATGATTGCCACTTTGGGCTGGTTATAGTGGTGGAAACACAACACAACTACTTTGCTGTTGAGTCAGTGTTTCAAACCAAGAATTTGTCATTCGAAGTGAATTGTCATTTAGGAAGCCCTGAGTTGAATAAAGGATGTGAAAACAAGCATCTCAGCATACCCCAGGGAACCAGATAAATTCATTGTTTCAGTCACGTAAGATGTTTTAGTGGCTCCCTTGTTGTGTAGAAAAACGTGATCCAAAGAACTATAGGAGCATTTGTAACCATCCCCCCCTGCCCCCCATCATGATCCTTGTAAACTTGTGGCAGCTTGCTGAGCATGCAAAATTTCATATAGTCATTGTTAGGAACAACAGTAATGTAAGGAACATTAAAAAAGAAGAAATCCAGATCAATTCACACAAATTTATAATGATGTGTATTTTTGAGATTTGAGATGAAAAAAACCATCAGTGCTTTTCATTTTTTTCAGCTTGATGAGACTTAATTTGTATCAGCCAACTGGGCTTTGTTCCCTCCTGCTTGGATCTCCATTCTCCAGCAGACAGTTTTTGAACTGTTGCACTCCATGCGAAGAGGCTTCATTCTTTCATTATATTGGGAAAATGGCAGCCTTCTGTCTGGAAGACAAAGGGAATACTGCTATAGGGATTCTATACATGTGCTGTATATTAGAATTTTAAAAAAAACCACTAAGAGAAGCTAAAATATTTATAATAGGAAGAGAGCATTTTTTCCAGTGAACTGAAGGATCTTTAAGCACCATACCTAGCTACTAATAATAACATAAAGCAAAGTAAAACAGTTTCATAATGCTTCCAAATGTTTAGATCTCTTCACATACATCCTTCTTGTTGAAACCCTTACAACAAACCCAAGTTACGAGTTTCCTGTACCCACATTCCCCAAAGTTGTCTATCTGTTGTCTTTCCCAGGACCTATATGCACAGCAAAAGAGGTTGGGCTCTAGGATGGTAACTTCAGGTGCTTGACAAGGGATAGCAATGGAATTCAATTAAGCACACTTTCTCTTTAACATGTACAAATCCATATGTAAACAGAGAAGAACTGCAATGCTTTAGGCATTACTCAGGGATTGGTGTTGAGTCTTACTGACTGTAGGGTACAGGAATGAATGTGTATTGCATCAGTGCTCCAGTCTTCTTTACCTCCTGTACCACTAGTTTGCAAATTCTGTAGACTGAGATCCCATATAGATGGCTGCAGTGCTAACTTGCCTAAACACCACTATGGCTAGTTTCCACCCATGTAACCCCTTAAAGTGGGAGTCTCACAACCATTTGGGGCTGATGGGCACATTTGGAATACTGAAAATATTTTACAAGTATTCTCACTAAAGGACATGGGACATATCCTTTTGCAAAATCCCTCCTCTGTCCTTTGCAATTGGTTACCTAGTACCCATTTTCCTGAATGATCATTTTTCCTGTAATAGTATGCCTCCCCAAGGGAATTAGAATAGAGACAGGAGGAAGAGCTGCAGCCTAGAAAATGATCTGATAAAAGAAATTTGAGTCTGAAAGAGGAGGGGTGGCACAAAGCATCTCAGAAGGGACCCTCCTTCGTTTTTGGGAGAGTAAAAATGAGGGACAGGAGGGGTACTTTCAGACTTGCAAGATTCTGTTAATGTAACCTTGCAATAAAGATAGAGTTAGTACTCCTGGTTGTGCTTCATGTCTGGACTACCTTGCAAGGCTAACATTTCCTGACTCATTTGAAGTGATGACCAACAGGTTATCTTTGTTAATGTCCTTGATTTTAAAGAAATGAATGTTGAGATGAATTATATCTCCATTACATCATCAGTGTGTATGGCATCGGAACAATTATAATTTACACTTCAGCAGTGGAAAATAATACAAGGTGGGAAAATTTTATAAAACTCAGAAAATGAAGGTATCTGATATTTTCCTATCTGAGGATAAGAGGGATTAAAGCTAAAGACTTGAAGGAAAAATGGAGGTTGAAGAAAGAAAAAGAGGGCAGAATTTCCATGAGATTTCTGGATAAATGAAACAATGGAAATGAGTGCAATGTTCACTGCAGGAGTAAGCAATCTTTAGGACGCTGAGCATGTTCTGAGAGCATATTGTGAATACAAAATGACTGCTATTGGAGAAAAGCCTTTTTGTTCACAAATGGTTATTAAGGTGTTCAATCCAGTCACATAACTAGAAGACAAAGTGTTTGCCACCTCATTTAGCCCACTGCCAGGGTGTTCCCTACCAACTCAGTTTGTCTTTTCCCATGTACTTGTTGTGTTGTAGCTATCCACTACTTTTATTTTTTCAGTATTTGGTCTTGCATCTACCAAAAATAAAAGACTCTTAAAAAATCACCAAGCCAGACAGGGCAGAGGATGCTAAAGAGGGTACCCAGGACATCAGTGGTATCTACAAGAACCATATAGCTCTATCTTCTTTATTGCTGTTATCTTGATTTTGCCATTTATGTTGTATGTTGCAATGGGTTTGGCTGGAGGGGGAATTATGAGTCAGAACAGTTGAGTTTGCCACCCTGTATTGGAAGGAGTAACACACCCTTTTTTTGACACTTTGCTCTGAAATGATAATACAGCACATGTGAAATAGAATCCATTTCTTTGAAGACATCATTGTGAAAAGGATTTTTTTTGTCAATCAGTGGGAGGTGATAAGTGCAAGAGAGCTCAATCTAAGAGATTCAGTGCAATACAGTTTAGAAAATGCTCAAGTAGGTGTTTCTGGAAACGTAATGGAACTTACTTAATTCTATGTCTAAATAATGTCCTTTCTGAATTCAGGCTTTGTGAAATGGTTGATATATATATATTTTTAATAATGCTGTAAATAGCACTGGTGGGGTAGGGATTGCCTGTTTAAAAGTAGTTAATGAAATCCCCAGAATTTTGGGGGGAAACGTGATTTTCTGATTACTTCATTGGTTTGCATTTGGTTCAAGATCCATAAGCTCAAGCCCTTCAGCTTGATATCAGCCATGTAAAATGGTGGTGTTAATCATGGATAATTGTAGACATGTAAAAATTAAGTTGCAAACAAGCACAATATCACAGAATCATAGAGTTGGAAGGGACCACAGAGGTAATTTAGTCCAACCCTTTGGTTAGCGCAGGAACAAATATGCAATCAAAATAAAAAACATTAAACAAGATTGCGCATCTGGCCAACAACACAGAAACATATAGCACAGACTCAGCAAGGGGCTCCAACCTCCCTAGCCCAGAGCCTGGGAGAAGAGCCAGATCTTTAAGGCCCTGTGGAATGCCATCCAGCCATCTGGATTTCAGGGGGAATCTCATTCCAGATGGCAGGTGCCACAAGAGAGAAGGCATGCTTTAGGCATCCCAACAGATGGTACTGCTGAATTGAAGGAACCTGGAATGCGCTAACCCTGTCGTATGAAACTAGCTAGGCAGATACCACAGGAAACAGGCAGTCCCTCAAGTAACCAGCCCTTATGCCGTGTAGGGGTTCATAACCAGCATCTTGAATCGCATCCAGAAGCAAACTGGCAATCAGTGCAGCTTGCAAAGCAAGGTGTCGCATGGCCATACCGAGGCGTGCCCCTCACTGCCCAC